TTTGCTATGGAAAGTCACTGGCTCCTAAGGAAATTCACTGGTTACTATGGAAGTCCGTGGTTGCTATGGAAAGTCACTGGCTGCTATTGAAATGTATGGTTGCTTTGAAAAGTCAATGGTCGCTATGGAAGTCAATGTTTCTCTGGAAAGTCACTGATGGTTATGAAAAGTCACATATAAGGAAAGTCTATTTGGGGCCAATTTGACTCCAGGGCTATAATTTGAATAATTTTTGTTTTACTTTTCAAGTAGAAGATTTTTGAAGTATTTATTATATATTTACTATATATGGAAAATCCATGACCTCCTTGGGGCCAATTTTGACCAAGGGCTATAATTGGAACACATTTAGCAGAGGACTACTAGATAATGTTTCTTATAAACAAGAGGGCCAAGATGGCCCTAAATTGCTCACCTGACCCATCAAACTCATCCGAGCAATTACCTAGACAAGCATCCTTACCAAGTTTCATGACAGTTGAGTAAAAATGTGACCACTAGAGTGTTAACAAGGTTTTTCAATATTTGAGCAGTGTGACCTAGTTTTTGACCCCATGCCAGGCTTCGCGAAACTGCTGAAAAATTTGCCTGACATTCGGTCAGACAAACTTTCAATTCTTGTCTGACCGAAAGAACTTTAGTCTGACCGAATTTTTTTCCAAATATAAGTATATGGTAATACCTTTGTGTTTTTTTTAAAGACATAGCCTTTTGTTTCGCTTTTTTTTCTTCATTAGATAATTTACGTTTTTTTTTCCTGGGGTAGCGCCATAGCAATAATGCAGTAACACCGACATTTTCTTCCGAGTAAAAGTTCATTGAAAGTCGTATGCACAGGCAATCGGTGCGTGGCTTGGATTATAAGTATACATGTACATGAACACGCCCACTTATTTTTGTAAATATATTTTTTTCACTAATAAAATATTTTTTCATTCAAAATGTTTTTAAAATATCTTATTTTCAAATAATCAACAAAGGAAATTTGTTTTTAAAAATGTCATCCATATATACTATAAATATAGTAAAGGTATGAAGGTTCGCAAGTGGACCTACCACCAGGCCTTATGTTACCTCCCAGATCTTTGTAAATTGTCAACCAATTTTCACCAAATAAAGTGCAATCTACGCAGAAATGATGTGCAATATTAGACAAGTTGGTATGACAGAAGATGCATACTTTGAATATCCTGATCAGGATTTGTATACATGTACAATGTCGGGAAATTTAAAAAGTTAGTGCAAATAACTACTGAAAGTGTGTACCTATAGACGTTTTTGATTAACTTTGGACCGGTAAGCAATAGTTTTATAGCTACTATCCAAGCCACGCACCGATTGCCTGTGGTCGTATGTATCTAGAATTTGATTGGACACTTATAATGAAACGGCGAATCAAAACTCGTTTCACATTTTTTTATTCAAGGGAGAAAACTTGGTCTTGTTCGGTCTTGGATATATCCCGGTATTCGTACCGGACATAAGGTCCGGAACTAGGAAAAAAAATATCGGACCGACCTGATTTTTGCCGGACATGTCCGACGGTCCGGCAACTTTCGCGAGGCCTGCCATGCAGGTGACCCATATTCAAACTTGACCTAGAAATCATCAAAACAAAATTTCAGAGTGATTTCAAGCATATTTGGATCAAAACAGTAGTCACTAGAGTGTTTACAAGATTTTTCTATTTTTAGCTCCTGTGACCTAGTTTTTCATCCGAGATGACGAATGTTCGAACTCATCTGAGCAATTACCTAGACAAGCATCCTGACTGAGTCTGATGACGAATGAGTAAAAAATGTTACCACTAGAATGTTAACAAGGTTTTTTCATATAACGGCATTGTGACCTAGTTTTTTGACCCCAGGTGACCTATATTTAAACTTGACCTAGAAATAATCAAAACAAATAGACAAATTTCCAGGATATTTGGATCAAAACAGTAGCCACTAGAGTGTTAACAAAATTTTTCTATCTTTAGCTCCTGTGACCTAACTATTTCATGCGAGATGACCAATGTTCAAACTCATCCCAGCAATTACCTAGACAAGCATCCTGACATAGTTTGATGATGATCGATTGAGTCAAAAATATGACCACTAAAGTGTTAACAAAGTTTTTCCATATATGGGTGGAGTGACCTAGTTTTTGACCCCAGGTGACCCATATTCAAATTTGATAAACAAACTTTCAGACCAATTTCCAGGATCAAAACAGTTGCCACTAGAGTATGAACAGGATTTTTCTTTTTTTAGCTCCTGTGACCTAGTTTTTATCGGAGATGACCCATGTTCGAATTCATCAGAGAAATTATCTAGACAAGCATCCTGACAAAGTTTGATGATGATTGAGGCAAAAATGTGACCACTAGCGTGTTAACAAAGTTTTTCCATATTTGGGCGGTGTGACATAGTTTTTGACCCCAGGTGACCCATATTCGAACTTGATTTAGAAATAATCAAAACAAACTTTCAGACCAATTTCCAAAACAGTAGCCATTAGTGTTGACAAGATTTTTCTATTTTTAGCTCCTGTGACCTAGAACTCATCTGAGCAATAATTACCAAGAAAAGCATCCTGACCAAGTTTGATGACAATTGAGTCAAAAATGTGACCACAATGTTAACAAGGTTTTTCCATTTTTGGGCGGTGTGACGCCGAAGAATTAATGGGGAGATCACTGCGTGGAGATTTAGGAGATTGGCACCGACTTTGGGCCGACATTAAAGTTTCTGGACGGCAACAGGAACAACATGACTTGATCGTAAGCTCGAAATATTTGTTTTTTATGTCCTGATAACATTAAATATAGTTATTTCGTAAGAATTCAATTTTATTCACTATAGCACGAGAATTAGTAACGATTCGCCACACTATAACGATTCGCCACATAACGATTCGCCACAGAGTAATAACGATTCGCCACAGTTAAATAACGATTCGCCACAGTATGATTATAACAATGATTTTTAAGTAATCAACAAACTTTTTCCTTTTGTTTTAATAATTTGACAATGACAATAATTTAATAATGTATCTTAATACAAGTAATATGAAGTTAAGGCCCCCATCGCGGATTTTCAATTTATCAAAGTAACATTATTACAGGAGTACATTAACAAGAAAGTAATTATATGTTGAAATAATTATTGAATTACTCATAAACATAATTATATGTCAATTAATATTTATATATAAATATATAGTTCATATATTATAATTTATGTCAAATATTTAAACAAAGTATTGCAAAAACGTGTGTTCATACGAAAATTGATTTACGATAATTGATTAAAGAACGCATATGTAAAACATTTGTCACACCTTTAATTTAAACAAGCCAATCACCTTAGGATTGTTGTAGAAATATTTAATTGACGCCGAAATAATCCTTTAATTATCTGACAATGTATTCAGATTTCAAAACAATGCGGCAATTAAGCTTATGTTTGTTTACAAATTAATTTGAGCGAGCCGATAAATGCCGATTAAGAGGGTTTAAATAGCTTAAACACATACATAAAATAGTATACAAACGAAAAATAACGAAATCAGAATCATGCCAGCTCCTCCTTGTTCATTCTGTTTAAGATGTATCTACAGTAACCCACGTGCTGTAACATGTGGCAAGTGTCAAATTTTAGATGGCATCATGTATAAAATGTGGAAACACAGCGTCGCTTGAAAAACGTTTTGTTCTCAGTGCCATTTTTTTGTTTTTGAGAAAAAAGCATATAAAGATTTAGTATTGCATAACTTTTTATTTTAATTGTCGGATTTTGAAAATTTAAAAACTACTAAACGTGGTGTCGGAGAACAACTCAATATCGTTAAAGATTTGTGGATTTTAATATTTCCTTGCTTAAAAACCTAAGAAAACATTTGGAGATAGAACAGTCCTTGTAACTTTTTTCAAAAATTGTTAAAATCAATGTGTTCAATGTGACTTAAAACATTATATATGTCTTTTAAGTTGAATTGATTTATGTCACATAAAACAGAAATGTTCCCGGCTAATTATCCATTGTTTAGTAGTCTTTGAGACCACATTTATTTCGTAGACCATATGCATCTATGAAATTTGAAATTTTATTTCCAGTACATTATTAAATGACATTAAAACAATAATATAAATAAATAAAGATAAAATACCCACATAAATTTGTAGACATTTTTTTATCTATTTTTATAACTTTAGCCATTACAATTTAATACCTTCAAATTGATTCAATGTCTAGAAAAAGAAAGCTGTAGACGCAAACGGGATTAGTTAACTTTCAAATCCTTTAGAATGCTGGAAAAATCTTTCAAGATTTTTTTTCATGAAATTCAAAAGATGGTCAAATTCAAATTCCTTCCAAAAGTTCGCAATAGTAATATTTATGTTGTAATGCGCTTTACACGTTCTGTTTGTATTCGTAAGAAGTTCTTCTAATTGTAGGTATGGCTATAACTTAAGTAGGCAATGAAAACATCTACTAGAAAAGACCTTAAAGGTAGTAGAAGGCATGATTTATCCATTTAAAAAATGTCATATTTAAAGATTGTCCGTGTACTAAACATTACAAACATAATGGCATTTAAATATATTCAGAAATTCAAAGACAAATTACAAGACAAACTAAATGTACGTACACGTATATTTTTCCAGTTTATATAAATAACGAAGTTATAAAATGTGTTATGTAATTTTGTTAATAAAATATTTGGTTTTCGTGTGTTTTCATTCAATAAAATGTGTATTTAGTGTAATTAATTTATGTAATTAACAAATGAAATATAAAATGGAAAAAAGTTTTCCATCAACAGTTTGAAAACAGATGTGAAAAAAAAATGTATTTGAACACGTGGCGAATCGTTATTTAACTGTGGCGAATCGTTATTACTCTGTGTCGAATCGTTATGTGGCGAATCGTTAGTGTGGCGAATCGTTACATTACCTAGCACGATTTGGTTTCGGGCCGAAAACATCTTGGGTCGAAATGACTCGAAATCGAACGAATCAACACTATACAGTAAGCGTCTGATGATAGAGATGGGTCGGAGACCTTGGCTGCGAACAGCAAGGCAGAGGAAATTATTCATAATTATAGCTCCTGTTGTTCTTTTTACTTTTACGTTTTCACCTTTTATATCACAACTAACAGCAAATAGTCTAGAAAAAATGCGTGGACGATAATAACTGGTAAGGTTACCATTCAGTTGGGCAAAGGTTACAAATTATATGTTCCTTGTCATGGAAGAGATTGATGATGTCCAGTCAACTCGTCCTTAGACATGCTCGTCCTCCTCGCCAGTTTTTGTTGTTATTGTTTGTAATCGTGCGGAACAGTATTGGTTTGAATGATATTTTCTGTTCAGTCAAAATGAAATTAGACAAAGTAAATTACTACTAAATATTTATTCCTATTTTAGACTGTTAGAGTCAACACTAGGGGTGTAACAATACAGCAAAAACCGTATTGCAATATATTGCCATTTTGCTGAAACGTATTGCAATATATTGCAATACGTATTGTCGTGTATATGTTTTGATGTAAAGATGGAGTAACATTTATATATTATTATTATATGTATATATTTTAGTAGACACTTAATAAAAATGTAAGGAATAAATAGAAAGTAAAGTGTCTCACAATTTGAAAAACAAAACTAGTCGCGTGTGACCTTTCACATCTGGGCCGCTTATGTAAATTATGCGGCCGCTTATTGACTTTTAAGTGTACTAGTTGTCGGATACTTTTATCTTACGTTGGCGCCAACAAAATTAGCCAATTAAAGATTTTATGTGAAATTTGTACAAAATTAGAAGGCAAATAATTGAAAAATATGATTTTTATAAAATACCGGTTTTCCAAAAATCGTACCGCGGTACCAAATAAATTTTTTCATATTGCAATATATCGGTATACCGGTAAACCGTTACACCCTTAGTCAACACCCTTTATGAGTATACCGGTGCCTCATATTTCAGTGGTAGATAACTGTCCAACACAGACAACCAAAGTTAGAATCTATTTACCTATATATCTTCATTTAATGTCAAACCCCTCGCGGGACGTAGACAACTAGACATATCTGTGCGTCAAAAATCGCAAGAAAGTTAAAAAGACTGTTTTTCGTTTGGGAAATGTTGCTAAAAAAGTTGACCACTTTTTTTGCGCCGCCCCCTATCAAAAAGGTACATTAGGGGGTTGCCAGAAGGGGATGTGCTCCCTTCTGTTTGGGGGATTTGAAGGGGTGGCAGTCCCCCTCATCAAGAAAATTTTGGACTTGTGAAAGGCTAAAAATGACCCCAGGTTGATCATAAGGTAATGTTATACACTCGTTTCAAAGCCTTTGACTCTATCTCAATCCATTGATAAGTTGCAGCGCTTTGAAATCAATTTTGATGGAAAAAGTTAATGCAAAATAGTGATTTTTGGCAATTTTGAGATGTCCCCTCGTTGCCATGGTACAGGAAATTTAAGAGTGAGCATGTTGTTACAAAGGCAATGGTCCAGTCAACATTTGTGCCAAGTTTGATTAGTATTGAAGCATTTTTCATAGTTTCATAGCAGTTTGAACTTGTAACAGGAGGCTTTTCAATGAAAACGGCCAATTTTCACAATATGCTCATGAGAGAAAGGGTTATTTAAGTGGATAAAAGAATATTAACAGGGTTCTAGCCAGCCTATTATCACAGGTTGCGCGACATTCATTCAGACACTGTGGGGATAATTATGTCATCCGTTAATCCGTCATTCCTTTTATTATCATGCTTCATCCATCATCCCTTAATTATTGAAGAAACACTACTGGATACCCGCATAGTATTTGAATAAACTATCCATTTATATTCAACCAAGATTGTTGCATAATTTCTCAGTATACCAGTCAATCAGAGTCAGTAACAGCAGACACTTACAACCAATGAAAAGACATGATAGCAAAGTTATGACGTAACGATTGTCTTTGTAAAACCCCACCATAAATAAGTTTTGGCGTTTTCCTTTGATCTTGTTAATAGCAAATAGAATTGATAAGAGAACAGGATGATCAAACAGCTTTTTTCTTCCTTTAAACATAAGAAACAAATGATAACAAATGTATTAAAACTGACGATGGTTTAGGTTACTTGCAGTAATTAATACTTAACATTGAGAACAGAATTTTCAGTCAAATACTGATGCTCTGTTATAAATGTTACTTTTTTCAGTAGCAAACACAATTAATGATTAAAATAAATCTCTTTTTAGCATATTAATCTATTATAAAGTTACCAAAAGTGAAACCGGAAGTCCAACTACATTGCCTATTTTCCAGCATTTTTCAATAGATTTTTTTGTGCATTAAACATTTCAATGACACTATTTGCTAATATTAGACACTATTTAAGGGTATATACTTAAAACAATATGATTTGTTTGTTATAAATTTGAATAGTTAATTGTTGATTGATCTAAATAACACTAATAATGTAATCAAAAATAGACATGTGTGGTCTGAAGTAGATCAAATCAGGGACAACAGAATATTAATCTACTGTTCTTATTCTAATATTATGATAGTGATATATTGATGCGCATCCGAACGACAAGCATTAAAATCACCGATTTGGATATATTATTTCGATTCTAACACAACATCAACAAATAAATGCTGCTGTACCTAATATTTACCTAAATTTCGCCTGATTTGTTCCAGTACTTATTGTCAGCGCGTCACAATTTTAGTGGTTACGTCATGTGTATAATAATTATGTCCCATATCTAAATATAGAATGTCAAACTGCATAATAACATACACTTTTGAATCTTCTATGTTCAATAGGGAAAAATGCGGGTAGTGTTAGAATACTGCATTTATTCAAATCAGTACTTACTAAAGCATTTCACTTCATTAGAGATGATTTCACATTAAATTTTGATAGACTGAAGTTGTAATTTTAAAAACTGTGTGTGAAATTGTGAATTCTTTGTCATTAAATAAAGAATGAAAACAATCTGGTTTAAATGTACTAATATATTAATTATATATTTTACAGTAGATTATTAAAAAAAAATTAAAAACTTTTGAGGTATCAACTTGAAACTTCATAAATTGATAGATATATCTCATTGAGGAGAAGTGCAGTTCTAAATTATTGAACTATTACTCTCTCTGAAATTAATGCCCTAGGTTATTTTGTATAATTATACATGTATTTTGTCTGTAGCAAGAATAAAGAACTGTTGAAGATATCATCTTTTAACTTTATAGATGAGTAGATTTTATCAATGAAAAGTGCAGTGCCTAAATACTATAAGTTATAACCCTTTTGCATGATACTGAAGTTATTACCCTTTATAGTTTTTGTTATAAATTTTTGTTAATCATAACTCAAAAACTATTTTAGGGATTAACTTGAAACTTCAAAGGTAGTTAGATCTGATAGACAAGAAATGAAATGCCTTACTGCCTTAGAAGTTGAATGCATAATTATGCCATCGCAGCATCTGCAATGCGGTGGCATATAGCGATTTACTTCAGGTCATGTTTTAATAATTATGAAAATTCACGTTGATATATTAATATATTGATCTTAAAACATGACCTGATGATAATAACCTTCTGTCATAGTAGCATTTCAATATGTATTGTTGCACCTTAATTTATACAAATGTAATTCTTTCTTCTTTATCTTGTTTTCCACTTAACTTTTTATTTTTTTATTTTTACAGGATTTTTACAAGAAAACAGTTCCTGCAAAGATGTTATGCTGTAGGCTTACTCCAGGAAGCTTCAATCACATCCACAAGACAGTGAGACGGTTAAAGTTTACCACTCCTGAAGATTTTATTCCGAAGATTACCAATATTGCACCTTTATCATCATTAAGTCAACAACATATTTATCTTGCCAAGTCTCAAAGGTTTTATTCAACAACATCATTTGAACCAGAAGGAGAATCAACACAAGAACAGAGCACAGAACGGACAGATCCTGTTAGGACAATTTATACCTTTCCTCGTATAACTTACGCAAGCACTCTGTCAAAACTAAAAATATTTCAGACAGTTGCAGTTACAGGACTTGTACCATATGTTTATGCAGGATATATAATGGGATCAGTATCCTATGTATTTATGTTAAGTAGCCTTACTATAATGATAACATCTACAATAAGTTTGTATCTTATAGGTGATATTATTTCTAAGATGGTCTGTATCATGAAGTATAATGATGACACAGGTGATGTCAACATCTCTCATATCAATTTCTGGGGTAGGAGAAGGGATGTTACAATACCTTTATCAACATTTGTACCCATCTCTGACTCTAAGGAAAACTTGACTGATGCCTACATAAAGCTAGACACATATGATAAAAGCGAGTCATTTCTAATATTCTTAAATACTTGCACTGAGGAACAAAAAAATGAAGTGTTAAAGTTAGTTGGTTGATATTTGTATGATTTAATGTTGGATTATTCAGGCTATTGCTGGAGCATTAATTATATTTGTGAAAAATGTTTGTTGATCTAATTATGTTACATGCAGAGTATCACATTATAATATATATTAAATCAGTGTTTCCTGAAGCTTGTAGTGCTCGTTTGCTTACCAATAATTTTTGTGCCCCCACGTTAGTGGCGAGCATTTAGATTTACCCTTGTCCGTCCGTCCTTCCGTCTGTCCGTTCACTTTTGTGTCACACGTAACTCAAAAAGTATTTGACCTAGAGTCATGAAACTTTACAGGAATGTTGATCAGCATGTGTAGTTGTGCACCTGGGTATTTTCAACTGGATATTTTTAGTATTTTCAGAGTTATTGCCCTTGACTTAGTAAAATTTTGCAATTTTCAACTTGTGTCGCATGTAACTCAAAAAGTTTTTGACCTAGAGTCATGAAACTTTACAGGAATGTTGATCAGCATGTGTAGTTGTGCACCTGGGTATTTTCATGTGGATATTTTCAGTATTTTCAGAGTTATTGCCCTTGACTTAGTAAAATTTTGCAATTTTCAGCCTTGTGTCGCATGTAACTCAAAAAATATTTGACCTAGAGTCATGAAACTTTACAGGAATGTTGATCAGCATGTGTAGTTGTGCACCTGGGTATTTTCATGTGGATATTTTTATTATTTTCAGAGTTATTGCCCTTGACTTAGTAAAATTTTGCAATTTTCAACTTGTGTCGCACGTAACTCGAAAAGAATTTGACCTAGAGTCATGAAACTTTACAGGAATGTTGATCAGCATATGTAGTTGTGCACCTGGGTATTTTCATGTGGATATTTTTATTATTTTCAGAGTTATTGCCCTTGACTTAGTAAAATTTGGCAATTTTCAACATGTGTCGCACGTAACTCAAAAAGTATTTGACCTAGAGTCATGAAACTTTACAGAAATATTGATCAGCATGTGCAGTTGTGCACCAGGTATTTTCGTCTGGGGATTTATTTAGTATTTTTAGAGTTATTGCCCTTCACTTAGAAAATTTTTGCAATTTTCAACTTGGATTTGACATAGTCATTAAACCTTATGGGCAGGTTGCTCAGCATATTTTAGATTTGCACCTGGGGTTTCGCTTGTGGATTTATCAAATATTTGTAGAGTTATTTCCCTTGACTTAGGTAAAAGATTGACAGAACAGTGGCTCGGTGGGGGCACCCGTGTCCTATGGACACATTTCTAGTTTTTTTATCAATTTAACATTCTGATCTCAAAGGAGATATTTTTGTAAAAGAACATATAATAATTTTTATGCTCCCTTAAGGGTGAGCATATAGTCGCTGCTTTGTCCGTCCAGTTATCAGTCTGTCCACTTGTCTTGTAACTCTAAAACTATAAGAGTTATAAACATGATAGTTTGTAGGTAGATAGATCTCATTGATAGAAGTGCAGTGCACAAGAACCGTAACTCTGCCTTGCCTAATTTTGGAGTTATTGCCCTATGTTCATTTTTAGCTCGACTTTTCTATGAAAAGGGGAGCTATCCTACTCGCCCCGGCGTCGGCGTTAGCGTCGGCGTTGGCGTCACACCTTGGTTAAGTTTTTCGTACCACCCCACTTTATTTCAGAAGTATTACAAGTATGGCTTTGAAACTTACCATACTTGTTCACCATCATAACCTCCATCTACAGACAAGAGTACATAACTCTGTCAAGGTTTTTGACAGAATTATGGCCCTTTTTTGACTTAGAAAGTGTATTGAGCTTGGTTAAGTTTTTTGTACCACCTCACTTTATTTCAAAACCATTGGAGGTATTGCTTTGAAACTGACCATACTTGTTTACCATCACGACCTTCATCAACAGACAAGAGGACATAACTCTGTCAAGGTTTTTGACAGAATTATGCCCCTTTTTGACTTAGAAAATACATTGAATATGGGTAAAATCCACTTATTGCCTTAACCCTTTGAGATATTGCTTTGAAACTTTTAATGCTATTTCACATCATTACCCCCATCTGTACGCAAGAGAAGGTAACTCTGTCAAGGATTTGTTTTAAAAATTAAGGCCTTTTATCGCCTTAGAATCTTGGTTAAGTTTTTAGTACCAGTCCACTTTTTGACTGAACTGTTTGAGATATTAATTTGAAAGTTGGAATACTTGTTTACCATCATGGTCCCAAAACATGGGCAGGAGAAGGTAATTCTGTTAAGGATTTTATTTGAATTATGGCCCTTTTTGACTTAGAAACTCAGTTAAGATTTTCATTCTTGTCCACTTGTTGACTTAACCATTTGAGATATTACTTTGGAAGTTGGAGTTCTTATGTGCCATCATGAGACCTATCTGTAAGCAAGAGAAGATAACTCTGTGAAAATGTTTCTTGATTTGTACTTAGAAATTCCTAGTTAAAGTCTTGTGTGCCCTTAACTGTCAAAGTTTTGTTTTATAGGCAAGCACTAAAAAAGTCGAGCGCGCTGTCCTTCTGACAGCTCTTGTTATACTTTATTTTTGTCCGGGACATAACTCTGAAACTAGAAGAGATACCAACATAAACCTTTGTTGGTAGATAGATCTCATTGAGTAGAAGTAGATTGCAAAAAAATCATAACTCTGCCCTGCCTAATTTTGGAGTTATTGCCCTTTGTCCATATTTACATATTGAACATTGTCCGTGACATAGTTTTGAAGGTATAATAGATATGAACAAGACACTTTGTAGGTAGATAGATCTCATTGGGTGGATGTGCAGTGCACAAGAACCGCAACTGTGCCTTGTCTAATTTTGGAGTTATTGCTCTTTATTCATATTTACATTTTGAACTTTGTCCAGGACATAACTATGACACTATATGAGATATGAGCAAGAAACTTTGTAGGTTACTGGTAGATAGATATCACTGGTATATGAGCAGTGCAAAGAACAGTAACTCTGTCTTGCCTAAATTTTGAATTAGTGTACTTTGAACTTTGTTTGGGACATAAGTCTGAAACTACAAGATATATATTTTTCTGCGTTCAAAACCTATTCGGGGAGCATCAACTGGTTCTTGTTCATTCTTGGATGGATTTTAAGATAACTTAGCCTTGATGTGTTGGACCATCATCCATATCACAGTTGATTAACATTTAAATGTTTATGGTTTGGATGTGGGTATCAGACAGTGGTGTTGGACATGACAATATAATGTTGCAAACAAGAGTTAGTCAAAAGTCGAAAATGGTTTTGTGCATTCAGCTCTTTTGTTTTGTCAATAATAATAAATTATTGTGAAATAATTTGTTGCTCATCAAGAACAAAATGATAGTCCAGCATCTATTTACTTATATATTTCATTTTATAATTAATGACCAGACAGATGAGCCGAATATTTGTGGCAGCATGCATTTCTTACTATTTGTGTTGCTTTTAAAAAAAGGCGACATATAGGGGTTGCTTTTGTCTGCGGCGGCATCCCCTTAGGCTTGTCCAGAGCATAACTCAGTCATTATTAGTCGATTAACTTCAAACTTGGTATGCATGCTTCTTTCAATAACTCGAAGTGCATTGCACAATAATCATTACACTGCATTCCTTAATTTTTGAGTTATTGCCCTTTGTTCATTTTCATACATCATTTTTGTTCTGTCATTTCTCTAAACTGTAAAAGCTTTGGACTTGAAACTTCATAGGATGATACATCTCATTAAAAAAAGTGCAGTGCACAAGAACCGGACCTCTGCACTTCTTATTTTTTGAGTTATTGCCCTTTGTTAATTTTCATATTTTATTATTGTCCGGCCATTTCTCCTAAACTATAAAAGCTATGGACATGAAATTCATAGGAAGTTAGATCTCATTGAGATAAAGTGGAGTGCACAAAAACCAGTACTCCATGATTTTTGAGTTATTGCCCTTTGTAAATTTTCATACTTTATTTTTGTCTCAGTCATTTCACCTTAACTATGAAAGCTATGGATTTGAAACTTCATAGGATGATAGCTCTCATTGAGTTGAAGTGCAGTGCACAAGAACTGGTACTCTGTTCTTCATGATTTTAGAGTTACTGCCCTTTGTTAATTATAATACTTTTTTTTGTCCAGGCCAATTCTCGTACACTTTAAAAAGCTATTGACTTAAAACCCTTAAAACTTCATGTGATGATAGAGGTCATTGAGAAGAACTGTGCAGTGCACAAGAACTTGTACTCTGCACTTCATGATTTTTTTTATTGCCCTTTGTTAATTTTTTTTTAACTTAATAGCCTTGTCCAGAGCCTAACTTGGTCACTATAAGTTTGATTGACTCCAAATTTGGTATGTAAGCTTTTGTCATTGACCTGAAGTGCTTGAGAGTCCTCCATTTGATCTGTCAGTGTAAAACTTCTCCATGGTATTTATATTTTTGATAATAAAACAGTTTTATTATGCTCCCCGAAAAAATTTCGGGGGAGCATATAGTCGCCGCCTTGTCCGTCTGTCCGTCCGTCTTTCCGTCCGTCCGTCCGTCCCCTTTTCTTGTCCGGGACATAACTTTGAAACAACAAGAGTTATCAACATGAAACTTTGTAGGTAGATAGATCTCATTGAGTAGGTGTGCAGTGCACAAGAACCGTAACTCTGCCTTGCCTAATTTTTGAATTATCCCCCTTTGTTTATTTTACACTTTGAACTTTGTCCCGGACATAACTCTAAAAGTATAAGAGGTATCAACATGAAACTTTGTAGGTAGATAGATCTCATTGAGTAGGTGTGCAGTGCACAACAACCGTAACTCTGCCTTGCCTAATTTTTGAATTACTCCCCTTTGTTTATTTTACACTTTTAAATTTGTCCGGGACATAACTCTAAAAGTATAAGAGGTATCAACATGAAACTTTGTAGGTAGATAGATCTCATTGAGTATGTGTGCAGTGCACAAGAACCGTAACTCTGCCTTGCCTAATTTGTGAATTATCCCCCTTTGTTTATTTTACACTTTGAACTTTGTCCGGGACATAACTCTAAAAGTATAAGAGGTATCAACATGAAACTTTGTAGGTAGATAGATCTCATTGAGTAGGTGTGCAGTGAACAAGAACCTTAACTCTGCCTTGCCTAATTTGTGAATTATCCCCCTTTGTTTATTTTTACACTTTGAACTATGTCCGGGACATAACTCTT